TAAGTGGTTAATGTCCGATCATAGAATACGAGACTAACATTGTTACTTTCAACTTTATTAATATCAAAAGTGAAAATCTTACTTTCACGAATTATAATTCTACTTTATTTTTCTAGTAAAAAATTATTACAGTATAGGCTCCTACGTGAAACACGATCCATTTTTTTCCCCTTCACAACTGAAGTCATTGTACTCAAAAAAGATTACATTCATCAACTTGCCTTCTACTTAAAGAAAAATAAAATAATCTTTGTCTGTGAAAGTGTCGAATAAAAAAAAGAGGAGCTTTCAAAAGAAAGTCATTTTGACGATTGCGATTTTAGTAACTTTCCTTCATTTCTGAAAGCTTCTTCAGGTCGTTAATACCCACGTAACTATTACATTTTTCATGAGGGTCTGATAAGAGCTACTGCAACACATTCCACATATAAATCGATCCGAATAAGTACTATCTGAATCGGAATCTATAAATTGTAAAGCTTTTGGTTTTGGATTTGTTGAGTTCGTTAACTTTTAAACTATCAAATACTTGTTTCATCGTATATACTTATACAACTTATGCTATCGTTATATCGTACAACATATGCTGTGAGTACCAATATTGTAATCACCCTTGTTTTTATATACGGATCTATTTTTAGAAATATGAGAAAAAAGGCAAAAAGATCTCTTGTGCAGATATTTGTTGAGGTCAGACTTGAATGTTTTTAAAATAAATGAAGCTCGTGGCACTTATAATAAAGTTCGAAACAAACTGTCAATTCTTACATTATAAAATTTAAATGTAGACATATTTTTATGCTATACAAATTTAAAAAAGAAGTATTTTGATGAGGGCAGCAGATGCAGAATTCCTAAGTTGTAATGGGTGGCTATTCCAAAATTGCTATTCTATTTTTGTGGCTGAACTAAATTTCTTAAGAAATATTCTGAAATGTATAAGGAATCAATATTTTAAAAAAAATATTCTAATATTTTTTTTCAGATTATGTATTATGTAAAAATAAAGGAATTAAATTTGAACTTTGAAATTAAAAACATTTTCTTAAAAAAAAAATTACTTTAGACCACGGGGCTACTCATATTTTAAGATAAATGCTTTTTATTCATTTCTGTCTTGTAAACAGTAGTTTCTGTCTTCAACTACTGTGAATTCAAACAAAAACAAATTCATCGAATTGTCCGCCCTAATAGTAAAGCTATATATGCTTAAAAGTTTTCACACGTTAAAAAAATAAATAAATAAAACGCGTTTTTTCATTTTTTGTAAATAATTCTAGAATAATATAGGTATTTTCAGAATAAATAACACTCATGTAATATAAAGTATAAGTCTGAAAGAGTTTCTAGTTTCACGTACCTTTCAATTATCAACAATACTAACAATATATCAGAAGAAATTAATTCCAGGATACCAAATAGAAATAAATGTTTTTATTTATATCAATACTTATTCAAGAACAAGTTTCTCAATAAGGAAATCAAGTTAAAAAATCTATTTAGCAGTTATTAGACATATAGTTACGTATGGCAGTGAAACTGAACCCTAACAAATAAAGACGAATCTAAGCTATTAATTATCGAAAGGAAAATTTTGAGAAGAATTTTCTGACAATTTAAGTAAATAATACACAGCGGAGAATAGGAAACAACAGTGAACTCGACCATTTAATCAGACGAAAGACATAATTCGATTTATTAAATCCAGACGCTTGGCATGGTTGGGGCACATTGAAAGATTAAATGATAACAGAAATTTCAGAAAACTCCTAAAATGGGAACCTTTCAACTCGAGGACAAGTGGAAGACCGAAGAAGTACTTTCTGAATTGGTTGGATGATAGCAAAGATGTAACCACCTTGAAGGTAAAAAAACTGGAAGTTTAAAGCAAGTAATAGGAAGGAGCGGAGCGATATAGTTCAGCAAGCGTGCTGAAGTGCTGTATAAAGTAAATACTCACATTTTCACCATTTTCTCATTAATCCAGCTAGTAAAAATTTTTTAAATTATTACGCAAAGACTTTTATCCTTCTATTCATTTTTCTAATGATTTTACGAATTTTGAACTAAATAAGATATTTTTACAAAATTTCTATCATGGTTTTAGATACAAGTGTTTTCGGAAAATGTGACGCTTATATATTAGCAAGCCACCAATTTCAAATGAATCGTGTATTGCAGACAAGTTTTTTTAAAAATAGTTGCAATATCCACCTTATGTTAGATTTTTTGTTACATGACTTACGGTATATGATATGATACATATTGTATATGTTTAAGGTTGCTTGAGATTTTTTAATTTTTTTTCTTTACGTAATTTTTGATATACATGATAAAATTAATCTATAAACAAGGATTAATTTGACGTGTGTGGAAAAGAATTTTCAAAATTTTATGTATTTTTATTGTTGTTGTTGACGTATGCCTGTGTAGGCAGAGGGGGTGCGATTGTTTTCGTTTTCCAGTGGCGCTATCTATGGCCAAGAATTCGACTTCTGCCACACCATACGTCGCACCCGTTTATAAGGCGGACCCATTCATACATCCATTCATTCATCCACAGATCGTAATTTTGACCTGAATCAGAGAACGATCGTTCTCCTATGCAGTACCCCCAGAGGTATTGATTTGTTATGGGAACATGGAGGACTTTCGCGACTCGACAAATTTAACGTACATCAGTCACTTTACTACACGGGGAGTCTTCGGCCGACGGGGTTCGAGCCCACGAACTCGGACATGGGCCCAGCGCCCTATCGACCAGGCTATCCCGGCCCATATATTTTTTAATTATGTATATAATATGATATTATTGCACATATTATATTATCATACATTATATTATACACGGTATAAGAAATTAAGAGAATTTGTGGACTTGATCTGTCGACTTTGTGGACTTGTCGATTATCTGTAGAACTACAGGGCCGATTTTAATGAAATTTAATATGTGCATACGTTGATACAATACAAAAGAAATAACCATTCAACAAATGTAATACACATGCATGATCGTGCGTAATACTCGTTGGAGTCGGAAGGTATGAAACAGCGGTTGCAGAATAAACAAAAAAAAATGGGTTAATAGGGGGTAGGGCCTTCTCTTACGGACATACAGGCCTTGCAGCGTGATTTCATACATGGAATAAGGCAGTCTATCATTTCCTGTGACAATTGGTCCCACTCGCACAGCAACGCTGTTTTCTTTTCCCGGATAGATCGATGATTCTAAAATGGGAGTAGCGATTCGCTATTGCCCTCCCCAGAGCGTCCAGACATGCTCTATAGGACTGAGGTCTGGAGATCCTTCTGGCCAATCCATCCGGCGAATATCCTCATTCTATAGAAAATCGTCGACCAGAAGAGCTATTTGTGGCCTCGCGTTATCGTCCATTAAAATGAACTCAGGGCCAACTCACACCAGTCACAGAGCCTCTTTCAAAAACAGGGAGAGGTGTGCGGCCATCCAACATGATTCTTGCCCATACCATTAAACCTGCTACACCATAATGTTCGATTTCTCGAACCTGTGGCTGCATACAAGTTACGAGAGAGCTAAGAAGAGTAAGAACAAAACACATTTTATAGATCATATAAAATTCTGTTGTTGTTGTTGTTGTTGATGTAGATTGTAGGCCCTTAAAGCAATGGGGGTGCGGTTGTTCTTGTTTTTCAGTGGCGCCATCTATTGTCAGGCATTTAAATTCTGTCACACCCATACGTCACACTCGTTCATGGGTGCAAGTCTTCCGTCCCCAGGACGGATTTCCGTCTTTCGAAAAAGTCAGCGGACGGAAATCGGAATTTTTTTTTTCTGTCCTTAAAAATAATTTTTAGGTCTACGCTATTGGTCTACTTTCTTATGTCCTGTTGTTATTTTATCAAAAGACAGATGAATAAATATTTTTGTGCAGTATTTATTGTTGTTGTTAATTTGCGTCGCACTAGAGCTGCACAATGGGCTATTGGCGACGGTCTGGGAAACATCCCGGAGGATGATCCGAAGACATGCCATCACAATTTTGATCCTCTGCGGAGGGGATGGCACCTCCGCTTCGGTAGCCCGTCGACCTGCGTGCGAAGTCGAGCACTTTACGGAAGCACAGTTTAACGAGGACCAAGGTCGGTAGGGCGCTGGGCCCATATCCAAGAGGTCGTGGGTTCGATCCTCGCCGACCGAAGACTCCCCGTGTAGTAAATGGTGACTGATGCACGCTAAATCTGTCGAGTCTCAAAGTCCTCCATGTTCCCACAACAAATCAATACCTCTGGGGGTACTGATCCAGGAGTTTCCTTGTCTTCTGGATTGGTTCAAAATTACAAGGCTACGGAGTTGAACGTAAGTAGTCGTAAACCCATGAAATTGGGTCGGCTGTTCATCGACGGTTATAAAATAAAATAAAATACCTCGGTCCCTACGCAGACTGATCCAAGTAGTCACCCACCCGCACGCTGACCGTAGCCAGTGATGCTTGACTTCGGTGATCTGCTGGGAACCGTGTCTTAACGATCAGTCCACTGCGGGACGTATTGTGTCTAAACTTGATGTATTATGGTAAAGCTTTCTTAGATAGTTTGCATATGTCGAGGGGGTATTGTGTATGTTATTATTTCAGTCAAAAAATTTTCAGTCTTGGCCTTTTTTCCAACTTGCACCCATGCACTCGTTTATAGGTTGGATCCATTCATACATCCATTCATTCACAGATCGTAGTTTTGATTTGAACCAGAGAACGATCAATCTCCAATTTAGTACCCCCATATGTATAATTTGTTATGAGAACAACATAGGTATAATTTGTTATGAATATATAGGTATGTTTATCATGATTTTGTGACTCGACAGAATTAACGTGCACCAGTCACCATTTACTACACGGCCGGCTAGATTGGAACTCCCATTCTCAGAAGCGACAATCCAGCGCCCTGCCAACCAGCAGGCTTTCCCGGTTTAATCAACCTTTTAAAGCGGTCTATTTGTCGTACATAATATAACTGTGTTCGTGACTGTTACTTCAGACATAAACAAACTAACGTCACAACAATAAAACGGCATGTTTTTAGTTTGATAAGGCACTAAGAATGTTATTTACACTAATGTCACCTTATAGCTTTTAAATAACTTTAAGAAAACACGAACTCTTTCTCTTAGATTCTTCTACAAATTTCTTAGCAGAAAAGAATTTTTTTCTTGAGCCAAAATGTCTAGTAAGTCCTCAAACTTAAGTTTTGTTTTTACATACGCATTCAACTTCAATTCATTATTTAATACATCAAACCGGTTTTCTTTTTAAAAAAAGTTTTTAAGTAATTTATTGCTCCAATATAAAATATTGTTTTATATTTCCCATATTTCATGTGGTATTTCTGAAGTATAGACTCAAGAAAAGTTTATAATAGTTTAATAATATCTAATTACGTTTCTTAACAAAGAGCAGTTCCTGAGAGCAGTTTTTAATATCAATAAAAAATTTATATTTAACAATTTAAAATTTTTTATGTAAGCAAAAACTTTCATGAACTGCATTTATGGGTACTAACGTATTATCCCGTCGACCAGTTTTGCTTAATCTGAAAATAAATTTGGTAATAGTTTATATCTAAATATTATCTCCCTTATTACTATAACTTTTGTTTGTATTTACCAATTTTTTATAACCAATTACTATATTAGGATACATTTGAAAGATACCAAAATGAATAACACAGTGTTGGCGAAAAAGGTTTACGTAATAATACACAAGTACCCTTTTATGCACTGTTCTTTTATTTATTTTTTATGTGTTACGTTAATCCTTGGCAGTAGAAAGGTAGTGCTGCTTTATTTTACTCTTTTTATATGTTTTATTTCTATTTCCTTATTACTATTTAAAAGGACAATAATAATTTAATTTGGAGGTATAATAAAATAATTTAATTTGTTTGTTAAGCTTTTCAAAATAAAACTAATGTTTAACTTATCTTCCAAAATTAACACTGTAAGCTGTTGTAGCTTTAGTAATAGAATTATATACCATGTAATAAGATTATATGCTAATAATATTCTATGTTTTATACCAAAAAATTAAACTAAAAAATAGAACAACCAAAGAATCCAATACAACTCTCCTGGGTTGGGCTTTTAAAAAAAAGTTTTTTTTTCTTTCAGCCCTGTTTATTTGGTTGGCCCACTATTTCTTATTTGCACTAGAGAATTCTGTCTTAACTTATTTTATGTGTCTTTTCTGATATTTTTAGTGTAAGTAGAATTACTGTAAATGAAAAATATAATTTTTGTTAATTTAAACAAACAAAATTTATAGTTCTTTCTTTATGATGCTTTAAAAATAACATTGTTTTTTAAGAAGTAACATATCAATAGTAATAACTACAGAGCTCATTCTAGGCAGAAAAGAGGGCAGGGTGCAAAAGTTTAAAAAAAAGGGCATTATTATTCTAAAAAGGCAATAATTTCTTTCTATGGGCTTTGCACGTTCTATTAAAAAACATTGTCAATTAGTAAAAGATTTTTTTTCCTTTACTTTACTAAAAGTAGCAAAGCAATCATATTAATTACTAATTTTTATTAATAAATTAACATATATATTGAGTTAATGGGTAGAAATTTATTTAGTAGCTTAGTAATTTATTTAAAATGCATGCATATATTAACAAAATAATAAATGTATGTTTTTAAGTTTCTGTAGTTATGATTTAATAATTAAAATGATTAATAATTATGATTTAATGGTAATGGAAGTAACTGCAAACTTTCAATGACAAGTGCAACAAGGGGTGTGATGGCTATTTTTCCTTTCCCATATAAATGTATTCCTATGTATTGACAGCAATGACAAACTAAATAAAAGGAGTTGAAAGTAACAAAAGTTTAAGAAATCCATAGTAGAGTTTGGGGAGAAAACAAAGAAGGGTTGAGGAAAGAAAGGGCAAAAAGGTTATGGAGTCTATTATATCAAGGTACTAATTTACTTCAGGGGGGTGGCAACAGGGTGGATTCTTTTGACTAAAAGGGCAGCAGGGTGCCCTGCGCCCTGTTTACCCTGCCTAGAATGAGCTCTGATAACTATTTATGCTAAAATATAATAGAATGCCGTACCTTAGTTTTATGTAGCATTTGAACTTCTTTTACATACTGTATTCAGTTATTAATTGAACATTATACTAGTGTGTTCAACAACATTATAACTTGTGTCTTCATTATTTTCTTGTAGGTGGTGCTATACAAAGGTGTCAATATTTGTATTTTGCTTTCAAAACCTTTCAACCAATGAACCTGTCAAAAAATTTCCTCCATACATCAGGAAGGCCAGTTTTACTGGCTCAACCTACCTGCATGACTCATAACCATTTGCTGAAGCTGGGAGAAATTACACCAGGTCTCACTTCCAGTGTATATCATGAACGTAGGATGAAACTTGTAGAAAAAATTGTCAAAAATTCTCCATCTGATACTGAAAGAGCTCACCTTATTGTGATCCCTTCTTCATCAGTCCTTTATATGACAGAAAAAATCCCCTACCGCTTTAGACAAAACTCAGACTTCCTCTATTTATCTGGTTTTAAAGAACCAGACAGTATTTTAGTAATAGATACCACAACTAAGAAGTTTCCAGACTTCAACACAACCATGTTTATTCCGAAACAAACTTCTTATTCTGAGCAATGGGAAGGATGCAAGATGAACTTGAAAACGGCCGTAGAGTTCCTTAAAATTGACAGAGCTTTATACATGTTTGAGTTTGAAAACTACTTACAATCGTTTCTGAAGTCGGATAAAAAATTCAGTGTTTGGTATGACTATCTTAATGTGTCTCCGTTTCAAGTTCATCAAACAATGAGAGATTTCATGGCTGTTCATACGGGGAATGTGTCTATGGAGTCCCCCCGGTCTTTACTTCATCGGCTTCGACTCATTAAATGTGATGCTGAAATAGAGTTGATGAGGAAGACTTGTCGGATTGCTGCTGAATCTATGAAAGAAGTTATGCGATTTTCTCATGTAAACCGTCAAGAGTCTCATTTGGATGCTAAGATGGAGTATGAGTGTCGTTTAAGGGGTGCTGACTTTCCATCGTTTCCGCCTGTTGTTGCTGGAGGCGATAGAGCAAACACTATTCATTACATTGACAATAACCAGATAATAAGTGAAAATCACCTAGTCTTAATGGATGCTGGTAAGAACTAACGTATTATTACTGTTTGTGTTTTATTTTATTATTGTTCATAAAACCTTCAATTTATCTTTTTTTTCTGATAATATTAACTATGTTTTAATGAATGCTTGTTTAAAGAGTTGCCATTTCGCTCATTTGGTGAAATAATGACGTAACTGCAAAATCAACCTATATAGAGTAATTATGAGTTTCGTCATTGTTTCACCAAATGAGCGATATATAGTATATAATAGTATGTGAGCGATATACTATCATATATCATTCATTTGGTGAAACAATGATGTTACTGCAAAATCAACCTAAGTAGAGTAATTATCAGTTACGTCATTGTTCCACCAAATGAGCGATTTAACCCTAAAAATCCTCCCAAAAAAACACCTGCTTAACTCCCACCTCCCCAAAAAAAAGCATTTGTAATTTCAGATTTTGTTTTTTTCTTCTTTTTTTTTCTAATCTATATTTTCTGTTATGTATTTTCAAATCCTTTGCCAAAAATAAAGTAAACCTAGAATACGAAATAAAAGTCACAAATTAATGTTTAATCTAGAGCAAACATTATCAAAATATAAGACATCACTAGAAAAAGATGAGACTAAGAACATCAAAACCTGTTTGATTGGTGAGTGAGATGAAGAACTACAAAAATGTTTTTTAGATATATAAAGCTTTTTCAGAAAGTAATAGAGATTTTGATATTTTCATTAGTGATTTGATGTATTTTAATAATGCTTTTGTCTTTTCCTTGCTTAAATATTCATTTCCCACCTCTAATATGTAAACTACTTTTATTTCATTTCTGACAGGATTCGAACCACCCTGTATTATGTTGTCTTGTGATTAAATAACCAAGTCTGATTTGTGGTAAAAGAATAAAAGGTTGTTTTTATAAATGGATTAATTATTTTGAAAACGGTGTCTTAAAACTATGCTGTAATCATCTAGGAAGCAAAATTTAACATCAAAAAAAGAATGCCAACGCAAAGATATTTATTTAGAAAAAAATGTGTAAATGCAGCTTTTAAAGTTATAATAAATAGTCATGATTGTTAAAAAATTATTACCTTTATCACTCCATTCAATTTTCTTTCTGTTTCCAGAAATTTAAGTTACCAAAGATGCACTATAATTGCTCATAGTTTGTAATAATGTAAAGTGGGCAATATGCACAGTAATCTGAGAAATATGGTCCCGATTATTTAGTTTGGAGATCAGACCGAAGTTTGGATCCCTTAATGTTAATTTTACTTTTTGCATATTTCACCATATCGTAAGATCTTTTTAAGTGAATTGAAAAAATTTTGCATGCAATTATAAAATTTTTTTATCCAAAGACAATTCCATGCAAAATTTAACTTTTAGTAATTTATTATTTTATTTAATAATAGTTGGCAAACTAGGCAACAAAAAAAAACAAGTTATGTTACATGGCATATGCCCACAAATCTCTTTATTTTTGCTAATGTTTTACCTAATAAATATTGTTTGCATACCGAGAGCAAGGTCTCAGGATCAAGTAAAGCCAATAAATTATAATGTAATCTAGTTCTTTTGTTTAAGGACCATCACATATTATAGTTCAGCTTATCTTTATAATCAAAATTAGTATAGTAATATATATATCAAATTAAGGTATATTATAATTAATGTGTAATCTTTTCTATTTTTTTCCTTCCTTTTCCTCAGGTTGTGAATGCCATGGTTATAGTAGTGACTTAACGCGTACATGGCCAGTCAGTGGAAAGTTCTCAGGACCACAAAAAGAACTATATGAAATGTTACTATCTGTTCAAGAACAACTAATCACTTTATGTAAATCAAAGTTATCACTTGATCATCTTTTTAAAATTATGTGTAAAAAACTAGGAAAAGGTCTCGGAGAATTACGCATCATTCCAGAAAATTTTACTGAAGTTGAAGCTAGTGAGGTACTTGTTACATTTTTTTTAAAAAGAATGTATTTTTATTAGAAGTAAATTAACATAAAACTTATCATTTTCATTTAATGTATGTCACATTACATCATTCATCATTTTATACCATAACTTACACCAATATGTTATAACTTCCTTTTCTTATAACTCTTATGTTATAACTATCATTTAATTTAGTTATACTAAATTTGCAATTGCTAAAAGTGGTTAAGATGTTATTAAATATTTTAGAAACTATGTGCAAAAAGTGTTAACCAACTTGCTTGTTTCATTTTTCCGCTTATCTACTAAGATACTATTCCGCTTATCTACTATCACTAAATCACAGTTATCCACTTGACCTGAATCTGAAACTTTTGCAATCATAATTGTTATTTTAGCCAAACTTCACATGAGGCATATTTTTTATTTGCTACTTCATTATATAACTCTTAATATAACACTTGTGAATTTTCTTTATTTAACTACATATCATCCTCCAAAACCAGAGCAACATACATCCTCTTACAACTATTACTGCAACTTTTTACAAATAGTAGCAAGTTTCATGTGTACAATTTGCTAACCCTGATTTTTAAATACCACTTAATATAATAATTCTTGATTTACCCCTTTTAATGCAGACTAATGCAAATAAATTTCCATCTTTTTTTATTATTAGTCATATTTTGTCCTTTTCAGTAGTTTTTTTGTTTAGTTTAGTTACATTTGAATGTGTATTGGTGTAACTTTTGTTTGTTTTGATCTTGATACAGCTTGTGCCATGAAATGATACAAAGTTATGAACAGAGTATATCTGGTCACATAATTCATTACAAAGGTAGGATGGCGAAAGACCTTTCGACCTGCAAAATTAACCGTTAGAACTTATCTGAAAAAGGGTACATTTTAAGTTAATTTTTCTAAGAAAGGTTACAACGCTAAACCCTTTAAACTATCAATTCTAGCCTGTTGATGAAATGAAGAATGTGATTGAAAGTATTATCTTTGCTACTGTTACTTAAAATAACATTTACAATTAATTAGTTAACGTTTGCAATTGTAATAAATAGCTAAGTTGCAGAGATTAGTATGTAACTCATGAAGTGTTTTATAATTTTATTTTACGCAAAGCAATTTCCATAATCAACTAAAAATAAAATTTGTTCAGCTTATGAGCACTAAGGTTCTTTAGATTTGAGCCAATGGCATTATTTTCAATCATACATATATATACACATACATGTAACAACAAGAATATTAGTTTGAATTGCAATTATTCTGTCGCGTCTTAAAACATCTAGTTATCTTTTAAGAACGAATTATACTATAATCTCTTCCTAAATTTTTAGTTTCAGACTTTTAATTTTCTCCCATCATGCTAATTATTATTTAAACCTTTAATTTTTGTTTTGCTGGAACAAATTTGTGTACAACTTTCCTGCAGAATATAGATTTTTGAATGGAAAAACTAGCTTCCTTCTAGAAGAGTATTATCTTGAGTTTAATTTCCAATTATCATTTAATTTCATTATTTTTAATTTCAGGTTTCTTTTACTGCCTACTTCATACATTATTAGTTTTTATTTCTTAAATTTTTTAATCTTTTTATATGAGGATGCTTTTGTATTCTATCCGCATTATGTTACTCATTATTTAAATTTTTGTTTTTCTTTTCAGGCTGCTTTTGCTTTCTGTCCTCATCATGTTAGTCATTATTTAGGTATGGATGTGCATGATACATCCACTATTTCTCGTGGCATAACTCTTCAACCGGGAATGGTAATTACTATTGAACCAGGTAAATATTGCTTTATTTACGAGGAAACATATTTAAATTATCTTGGTCATGTCTTGATGTCTTTAAAAAAAGATGATTATGTAAGTTACCTACTGTGAAGAAAAAAACTTCTTCAAAGCAACAAAATAGTTTTACAAAACAATGATTGCATCTGTCGAATGTCGAAAATTATTTATTTATGGAATAGTTTTTTGAAAATTTTATTATTTTTAATACAGTATGTCTTAATTTCATGCCATAACTGGACATAGAGAAAATTAATGAGACTGAAACATGCATGTTAAGAAAATGTATAACAAATACATATTTTACAAGGAGTAACTTATTTTCTACTCTACCCGGATAGGAGGAAAATAGAATAAGTAAAAAAGAGGGGGGGGTGGAAAGTGTCCCACTGAAATAAAGCCAATTCTGATTACAGCCGAAATATCCGCTATTTTTATATGCAACACGAAATATGATATGCCATTCCCTGGAGGACACTGGCATCAATATCATGCCATGTTATAATGATGGCAAACTTCAATTCTGTGACAGATTTAAACTAGTTATTTTGTATTTACCAGCTGTACTGATAATAATCTTTATTTACTTATTATTCTTTTATTCATTTGTTTATTTTTTTGAGACTTCAGGTCATGGAAAAGGGCTGGCATATTCTATTATATGCAACTTATTATTCGAAAACCGTAAATGTTTAAATTTTGCCATTTGAAGAGAGGTGTCCTGCTGGAAAATTCAACTCGGTCCGTCAATTCTTTCTGCAGATGGTAGTTTGTGACTTTCTGGATTTTGTTACTAATCAGCAGCATTTATGCGGCCAGAAGAAAAAAACCAAATTAAATTTTCCGCCATAGCCAAAGTTTTCCCTTACTGAGCCTCCTCTTAGTTGACAATTAGAAATAATTTCTTCTCCCTTTCTCATCTGTTTCTTTTTATGTTTTATAAAATTGCATTTGTTATGTTTTATATTATTGCGCGTTGGTGAAGGAAAATTGATCGAGTTTTGGAAATCAAAGACCGAATGCTCCAAAATTGGCAATTCAAAGTTTGTCGGTGCCTAAAAACAGCATTGACGCAGAAAGATCGTTTTCTAAGTATAAAAATGTATTAAGTGATGAAAGACGAAGCATAAATGAGAATAATCTGACAATGTACAATACTTTGTACCAAACTGTTCATTTAAAACTGTTAAATTAAAAATATTAATATTGCTTGAAATTCAAAGAAATACTTTTGTTGTGTATTTTTAAGCTTTTTTTATTTGCGCAATTTCTGCCTTTTGCATCATTTACATAATAAATTTTTTTATGTTTAGAATTTGTGTAATTTTCAAAATTTTCCAAGAACTTGGGGTCTTTTTTCACGCGACAAACTTGCAGCCCTAAACATGGTAGATGCATAGGTTATTAACAATAGTGGCTTTATTTTGGCAGGACACTTTTTTTACTTATTAAACTTTTTTCCAGCCTAGTTATTGCAGGATAGCTCATCGCACTCTTGTGCCAAGGTCCTGGGTTCGATACTCTGGCCGGGCAAGGTTGACTCGGCCTTTCGTCCCTTCAGTGGGTCGATAAAATGAGTACCAAGCGTGCTTGGAGACTAAACTCTGGGGGGTTCTGCGTTCGGCTGACCACCCAATCGGAACAGCTGCTCCTGCACCCCAGTGCCTAAGGTCAAGAAAACTGAGATGGTCACAGTAGGCCTTGGCCCTCTATGGGCTGCCACGCCAATGAGTTTAGTTATCGCCGGAAGTTAGTTATTATACCTTACAATGATATGTGTTTTGGATATAGACTTTCATTGGTTTTTTTTTACCTCCAGTAATTGTACAAAATCAAAGAGGCTTTGTTTCATTGAAATCCATTGTATTAATAAATAAATACTATATGTTCATATTGTGTTATGGATTTTGTATAAAACAAACTGAGTATATACCATTTACACATTTTTCTTACCCTCAGAGATAAAAAAACTTCTATTTTTCTTTATTTTTGATTAATTTATTAAATTAAAAAACAAGAAGTAATTTAAAAATGCAATTTTTTATTTGATATAATTATTAATTTTTAGGAGTATATATATCAAGAAATAATATGACTGTACCTGATGAATATCGAGGCCTCTGCATTAGAATTGAGGATGATATTCTAATAACTGAGGATGGTTGTGAAGTGCTAACCAGAGACTGTCCAAAAAGTGTTGAAGAGATAGAAGAATTGTTCAAAGATCAAACTATTGTACAGCTATAAAGTTCATACAGTTTTTATTTCATATTATTAATTATTGTTCTTTGTATAGTTTAAATTAGTTTTATATTTATTAAAGTTGGTTTTACAGATTTTCCTTATGTCTGTTTATTTTTGTAAAAGTGACTTTTAACCTGAATTATAATTAGTGTTACTATGTAACTGATGGGCTCATAAGCTACGACTCAATACATTTATTTTCCCTTTATTTCAAACATTAGCATCTCATAAGATAATTGATTTTTTGCCTTGAAACTCATTACACCTGAAAGTTGCATTCGGTCGTGTCCTTTGCCCTCCTTCCTCTCTTACCCATTAAGATCTCTCTTGTAACATTCCAACTCTCCAAATAAAATTTGTTTCTCTCATTGGTCGCCATACTTTCCCATGTTCTTGATCTACCTCTCCCCATGTTTCTATCTGGTCACCAAATCAAAGCAATTCTCTTTGGCATGTTTTCTTCCTATGTGGCCAGTCCAGCTCTATTCTCTTATATGTACTATATGGATGCATAGATATATATATATTAGTGGCTTGGTACTGAATTTACGGTATAGATCCCTGTTCAATTTGTTTGGCATTATATTTTTAAGTATTTTATTTTAAATGCTTCTATTTTGTTTTCTTGGTGGCTGCTATTTCCACAATACATATTTTTAATTATATTAATCTTTCCTGGCATAGAAACTATTGATTTTAAACAAACATTAATATATTTTTTAGACGCATTTAAACTAAGCGTATAGAACAATTAAAGAGCTATCTCTTTTAATGAAAGACCAATACTTCGTATTGTATTAGTGTCTGAAATAGTTTAAAGTTTTTTAATCGAGCAGTTTTAAAATAATAAAGATAAATTATCATTAGAAATTTAACCGATAATCAAAAACAGTAATGATGACTTTTAAAAGAGTTCAATTAATTGGTTCTATATATTAATACTTATATGAATATGTAAAGATTATAAAAAGAACTAGTAAGATTACAAAAGTTTAAGTATTATTATATTTACTTGGCCAGAACAATTTTAATTTTTGTCCATATTGAAGCTATGAATTTAAAGCACATGTGCATCAAATGTTCTTATTTTGTTACTATTATTACAAACAGTAAATATGTTAAACAAAATTTTGGAACAGTAATGTCCTTTTGAAAAACATATAATTTCATGGCTAAAAATTTTTAGCCATCTGAATAAAAAAACAGTGATGTCAAGAAATTTAATGAATTAATTTGAGTTGTAATTGAGAGTAATATTTGAGTTGTAATTGAGAGCCCTGTATATAGGCAGTAAAGACTTTTAAAGGGAGAAAATAAGTTCTTCAAAAATGACCTGCAATTTGTGAAGTCAAAGATAGAAAAGTAATGTACGGTTTACTACGTTCTACTTAAAAACAAGGCATTTATTTTAAATTTCAAAGTTTTTCAACAAATAGTTCTATTAACTGGATAAAAGAATGTTTTCAAAATAATTATTTGAAAAAACATGGCGCAGTCTGAAGACAAAATTAACTGAAGCCTATATCTGACATATCGAAGAATAATTGTTTTTCTTTTAAGTCAGCATTACCATGCGTTGAAAAACTATTACTCATTTTGAAACTTGGTGTAAATTAATTACCTGACTTTATAAGCAGAACACAACAAACTGTAATTTTTGGAACATCTAATAAAATACATTGAGGAAAAAGTTTCATACTACATGCTTAATCTGACCATGCAATAAAACAATTACATTAACTACATCATTAAGTTAATTAAACACCATATTTAAAATGAAGCTTATGCGTATATGGCACAAATTTTTATATTGAATAGACTTGAATGCGATAATATTTATGTAATGGCTGATGAAATGCAATGGAATCGATGGTTGCCATTTCAAATAACTGTTGTAATAATACAGTTGAATAAGTTAGTTGAAAAAAGAATATATTTATATTTTATTAATGAATTGTGATAGTTATTTTTTAAAAATTTTTTTTTAATATAGTACATGATGGCAAAATATCAATTATTTGATAATATTTTTTAACAAAAATTGGTGCTTTTCATAATAAAACAAAAACTTGAGAACTGTATTTTGGTTAATTTTTTTCAAGATCATCCAGCCTTATTTATCTCATTGAATTCAATCATTCTGTTAATTTAATCATATGTAGCTTCCAATCTACCTGCACTCTCTCTTTTTACTCACTTAAATATTTTTTAATGCTGAACTGTAAATTTGTGAAGAGTTGGAATTCCTTGATTATGTGGAAAATAGGAACTAACTATTTAAATTTAAGAAAAAATGATCATATTCTTTTAAAGGGTGGCTGTAACTTGTTTTAATCTTATAATAATTTGATTTAAAAGAGTGACAGATTTTATATTCCAGTGATTTTATGAATGGCGATAACTTACATAGTCTTAATTAACAGTGAGAGAAATTTTTCTAAGAATGTTTCTTTTACAAACGTTATATGTAAAACATAGTTTATTAAACAAAATTTATACATATAAGTGCAATAAATCATTATAAAAAAATATATGTAGTAATCTTTTTTATAACAGATATGGTATTATTTATTTTATCAATAGAATATCTGAATATTTACAGAAATAATGGGTTAGTGGCTATATACAGCTGATAGATAAAAGTATGAAAATATCACTATGTTAACTATATGGTGCTATTTTAATATATGGAAGTATTACATTCATGTTAACTCTTTCCACTAAAAATATGCCTTAGAAAGGATGTTTCTTAACATTCCAGAAATTTTCACTTCATTTTTACTTCGTAATTTAAAAGCTACATTTTTAAGTAATTATAACAGCATCAAATTAATTAACTATGAAGGTACTAATATGAATCGAATCTTATTTATGGAAAAAAAATCATTTGTCACTTTGAGTAAAAAAAGAAATTTTATACATTCAAATTTTTTAAAACAAAAATTTTACTATGAGAAGGTTAAAATTACTTCTAAAAACATGTTAATATAAGTTTCAACTTAATAATTTACTAAGGATGTAGCACATTTGTGTAACTTTTGTTTTTACCCATAGAATTAACATAGTGAACATTCTATAGCTGTATCTAACATCTGTGTTTATACATGTATATATAATCTTTTCTATTTCAATTGAGCAAATATTAATATAGAAAATTTTATTTTGATACAAAATAAAATTTTCTAATAAAAATATGTTTAGAACTTTTTTCTGAGTTAAGAAATAATCAGGTATACAAACTATCAGGAAAGACATGATTTCTTTAAAATTGAATGTCAAAAATAATTTTAAATCTTTACTATTTAATTTCACACAATGAAAGTTTTGATGTTTATTTTTAAATTGGCATGATATGACTATTTCTGTAAATGTTTGTGTTATAATGCATACATACATAAAAAAAATTTACCTTAAGCAATAAAGAATGTAATAAAGTTTACATTTATTCTCAATATTAAATCTAAATAGAAAATTTTTCTTAAATTGTTTTAGTTAAGTTTTAATTAAATCATATTTTTTTTTATTAACCTTTTAATATAGGACCTGCAAAGCCTGTTATTTTGGTCCACTATTAGCCTTTAGAAAAGGGTTAAAAAAAAGTTTCTGTAATATATGTAATTGAGAAAAAATAAGTTAATTAAAATTTTATTACTGAATGTCTTGAATTAATATTCTTTATGCCTTTAGTGAATGAATCTATTAGACCTTAATTCACCTATTAAGTTTTATGAAAATTTTAGTAACCTACAAATAAATTTTCATAATATAAATATAATATTTATATGTACATACAAATATGAATGTTATTCAAATTTAAAGCATAAATTTTATAGAAAGCATTACTTAAAATTTGAAACATACGAATATGAATGCTATTCTTTAAATTTAAAGCATAAATTTTATAGAAAGCATTACTTAATTTCTTATAAGAATGGAATATTTCAATTTAATTATAACTGCTAGCTGAATACATATTTGTGAAAATATATATCTTTGTATGCTGTTCATAGTTTACGAAAATTTTATGTAGCATATTTGTAATATATAATTGTAATTTAAATCAGTAACTACTTCCACAATGTCTACATTTATAAGAATTGACTTACTCATATATAAGCAGGTACTTGTGTACAATTGACATAATTTTAAGGCTGTCAATTGCTTTTTACAATATCATTTATCACAGTGCTAGAATTAGTTTAATTTATGTATGCCCCTTTGCACTCAAGTGTCCAAAACATCATTAATTAAATTGCCAACTGGTGGGCAAATGGCACTTATAAAAATATCCATATACAAAAATTCTGCTTTAGCCTCAGTCATTAAAACAAACAATTGAAAATACATATAAAAAAATCTTGAATTTCAGAATAAATATATGTGTTGTGAGCTCTGAAATTCATTGTACGATTGTTGATCTATGAGATCATGAAATAGGAACAATAATAAATATTTCTGAAGAGCATCTACCACTCCAAGGCAACGGGATATTCTCCTGTCAAACACGCTGTACAATGTCTCTCAGATTTTTTATCCATTGTTGAATTTGCTTTTACTGCATTTTTCAAGTTGGCAACATCGAGGTAAACTAAACTGTTGGCGCCAATTTGTTCAGCTAGTTGATCAGCATTCAATTTGTTGGCGATAAGCTCTTCTCTGGTTGGAATATTTATTCCCATATAACATGGATGATGAAGAGGTGGTGATGCTATACGTATATGAACCTAAAACAGAAAAATTATCTTAATTAATTAAAAACCATTAATCTTCATTATTAAATTAACATTGGCGTTATTTTTTTCACTCCTAATTCATCTCTAATCAGTATTTTTTTAATTTCATTTTTTTTCGAGAATTCTAAAAATATAAATTTAGGATGATCATTTTAATACACACTGTATGATAAATAATATTATTAAACATAATTCAAAAAAGTTATATTAAAAAAATAAAACAGTATTTACCAAAAATTTGGAAAATTGGATCTTCGTTGAATTGTTTAATTATTATTTGCATTATAACTAAAAGTGTAGTTTAGTAAAATACTAACAATTAGGAGTGAAATAACAAAAATGTTTTTAAATAATATTAAACTGTTTTTGTTCCTCTAACTGATTTTTTTTCTTAACTGTTACAATTACAAACAATCATTTGCTTCGATTCAAAAATTTTCAACAACAATAAAACTAACACCCAATATTATAGAGATTGGCCATTTGATGAGTAATTTAGAAGTTAAATATGATTTTCTTGTTTACACACAAGAAATGTATTGATGGTCTATTGGTGTCAGTTTGGGATTTATCCTAGAGGTGAACATTATATGTTTTTAAATATATTGTATGTTAAATAAGTTTCAAATAGATATTAAATATGTTTATCAAAAATATGTTTATCAGCTTTGATTTTTGGGAATCTTTGTTTAGATGGCAAATTTTTTGTTTCTGAAGTAAAATAACAATGGATTAAAGTGGATTCTTTCTTTTTGGGGGGAGGAGCTGGTCTCACACTTTGTCAAACACTGAAACTATAGGCCTGTTTACACGGTCCAATTTCTTGAATCCGAGAAATTGGACGGATTTCTCTGTCCAAGAAATTGGATGATTCGTTGACACTATCCAAGTTCTTGAATGTCGCTGATTCGTTGAAAGAAAAACTTGCGCATTGTTCATATTCGACATTATAAAATAATGCTTACATAAGTTTAAAATTACTAAATAAATTTATATAAAATCATAATAATACAAATAAACCTCAACAGATCAATTTATTTGGACTAAAATTTATGAAAACCCACAACAAAATGACATAATTTGCTGCCAGCTTGTTGACGTCACAAAACCTAAGACGCTGATTGGTTAAGGGAGAAAAAACTTGGATGGAAAGTAGAACATGCTCTACTATCGTCCAAGAAGTTGGACCAAGTTCTTGGATGTTTGTTTACACGTTCAAAGCTCAAAGCAAAACAAGTTTCCATCAATATCAATCAATCTCTGTCCAAGAAATTGGATCGTCTAAACAGGCCTTATGTAGACAAAACAAATATTTTACTCATAACTACAAAACTATAAACCTTAACAAACCTATTTCTTTCCTTATTTCTAAAAAAAAAAATTATGTTTTATTTTATTTACTGCCTTGCATCACAATGAAGAAAAGTTACTACATTCAGTCCCTTTTTTAAAAATTATTTTTTAAAAAAATAATAATTTTGTGTGTTAATTGTTTAAATTACCTCTTCTGCTCCTGCTTCCCTTAGCATTCTGATTATGGCCCCCATTGTGTTCCCCCTTACAATTGAATCATCAATCAGTACTATTCTTTTCCCTTTGAAGTTGGCACTCAGAGGACCAAATTTCTTGAGAACTGCCAACTGTCTTAGTCTTGTGCTTGGCTGGATGAAAGTTCTTCCCACATATCTGTTTTTACAGAGTACTTCCATGTAAGGGATTTTTGCCTGGAATAAGAATTTGTTAATTATTTGAATTATTACATCTATTTCAGAATAATTAATTATAAAATTTAAAAAATATTACTTATTTGCTAAATTGTAAGTCGTCATATTTTGAATTATATTTTATTCTGTGTTAAAAATAAAAAAAAGTTTCTAAGTTGACAAAATTAAAAAGTTAACAAAATTTCAAAGTTAACAAAAATGGAAAATATTTGTATAATTTCAATTAGCCTATATGGTCAAAAAAATAGATAAATAAATATTCAGTTTATGATGAAATTGTAGAAATATTGATGCTTAAAACAACTACTGTAACTTTAACTGTATGTCATTATAAAAACATATTACTTTATGTTAAATAATGAGTAAAATTGTATCCATAATTATGAATTCATTTAATTTATGAAAAGTTATACGAATCATAGTTTAATGAATTTAATATGTTGCAAAAACTATTTTATAATATTAATCAATAATAGACTTTTTAGCAGCTTGCCTTTTAAATAATCTTTTTAGTACTTTTTTTTATGATCGAAATTACTTAATATTGCATATAGTCAGATTTAGATATCAGAGTAAAAAATAAGTGTAACACAATTATACATGCCTCAATTCTTCATAAACCACATTAACTTTACAATCTCTTAAAGTAAACCGAAATTGGTAAATTTGTTGGTCTTTAGTCCTAATGCAATTGATAATTTTTTCTGTAAATGATTAATACTTATGTGCATATTTTTGCAATTCAAATTAATTGCATTCAAAAAATATTTTAAAACAATAATATTGATCCACTTTTAGAATGAGTGACTGAAATCCTGTAAAAAGGCTTGTTTTTGTAACGATGAGATGGGCTCAAATTGTGATGGATAGTTGCAGTTGAGAGAGATTTTGGAAGTTTAATAAGTGAGGAACCATTGTCAGAAAAAGGATTGCTTGCAACTTCTTCCCACCCCCTTGGACAGTGCCCCCCTCATGATGACGATGAATATTGATCTGTTTCAGATATGTATGTTTTTATGTTTAATTTTATGTGAAATAACACAAAATTCTATTCAAAAATCTTCAAAAGCATGATGTTTGAAAGAAAAAATATTTTATGGTAATTAAAATTTTTTTAAACTTGTGGCAACTGTTGGGAATTCAGTTTGTCATCTTTTATCTATAGCATTTATTTCTTTATTTTAACTTCAGATGATATCATAACTTTTAAAAAATATGATGTTAAAATTGAGTCTTATTTAATACATCTGCAATATAGCATGATATATGTATGTCATTGTAAAGTATTAAAATCTTGCAAAAGTGGCATACATTGATTTCACTCAAATAAATGCATTAATGTATGTCTGAAATACTTGTTATGTGAGTAAATACACGTATAGCTAGTATTTTATTAATTAATTAATTATTTTTTTAATATCATTATTTTATAACTTACACCTTTAAATGTTAACAGTCAGCATGTAGTGTTTGGAAAGCAAGTGAGCAAAAATGACATCTTTCTTTTCAAAGATCACTATCAGAACATGCTATTTTAAAAAATATTTTGGAAAAAAAAATACTAAGAAATAAAACACTCTCCAGAGAATACATTAATTTTAAACTTGTATTGTGCAGTTTGGCTCTTCATTGTATTGTATCACAGTAATAAACACATGTAAGAAAAACATTTTCATAATTTTAAGCTGTACCATATCTTAAAAGCCATGTCTTATTCAAAACCAGCTATGAATTTCAAAAACTGAATAAACTGGAATAGAAAAATACAAATGCACCAATGAAGAATATATAGCTCAGCTGAATTATTTTTGTCATGTAATTTGTTAACCTAATCTTCCTATCTGGCATCTATTTTATACTTAAATAGGGCAGTGCTAATAAAGAATATATAAGTACTACATAAAAATAAAAGCTTAAAACAAATGAATACTAACTTGTTCTGCATATCCAATTGCAGCTGGAGTTGCAGATTCTGGTACTGCACTTACAACATCTGCTTCAATAGGAGCTTGTATTGCAAGCTGTCTACCACATTCCATTCTTGCTGTGTACACCATTTGACCTATAATAGTAATTAACAAATAGTTATTGTTAAAAATTAGAAGTAAAAAATATTAAATTCGTTTGCATAAAAATAACTCCTCATTGCATTGTATCACGCATTTGAATTTGTAGCATTTTATGTCTCTTCAAAGAAAAAAAAAACAATATGTTCAGAATACAGTTCAGAATACAATGATTTAAAAATTCTACTAAAATGATTTAAAAATTTTACTAAATTACTTAAATGTTAGTGTTTCCATTATTATTAAATGTCTATTTTAATTCACTATCTAGATGGACTGAGATTTAATTTATCTATATCTGACATTCTCTATATAACAAGCTGATAATGTATTTGAAATATATACTTACTTGCCAACGTTGGAGAAATAAAATGCAGTTTTTACTATCGACATTTTTTTAGGCTATGAGTGCTTTGATACATCATGTAAGTCGAAAAGAGAAGTTCAAAATTGGAAATATAAGCACAAATATTTATGAAAAGTAAAAAATATGTATATAAATCATATAATCTAAAGATTTATTTAAACCTTTATTTATAATTACTTAAACTATTAACACTCAATATACTGGAGTACTGGCAGTAACACCATCTGTTGAGGTATAAGAGAAGTACTTTTGCCATCAGCAGATATTTTATCGCCAAAAAAAATTTTTTTTAAAATTTTTGCTAAAAATGCAGGTAAACAGGAGATAGTCATAAAATGCAGGAGTCTTCGTCAAAAACAGGAGACTTGGCAGGTATATATATAATAAAGTATCTTGTATTGTAATATAACAAATATGTTAGCAAGTTATATGGAATTTAATGAGGAGATAGTAGTGATTTACAAACCTTCCATCATGCTGTCTGGTCTTGCAAAATAAACATATTCAAAAATACAAAATGCTGGATTGCTGCTCCCTTTTGGTCTGGGAAGAATGCATATGGATCGAATACCCTTTTTCGTTATCTCAACAATCTCACCAGGCTCGACTTCACGAACCAGTCGTCCTGCGACAGAAGGGAAAGCACAAGATTCCGATGATACGACATAACCTTCTAGTTCACTTTCATCATCATCTGCAAGATATAGTTAGTAATTTCATGAATAAATAAATAAAATAATTATATAATTTATATTTTATGTTTCCATTGTGTATGTGTATTCTTTTTTTAAAATTCTATTTTCTTATATCTGTCGTAATATATAAACTCAATTCTGTAGTTGCTGACATGGACTATAGATTGAAAAGAGACTTTATTTGTTTCATGTTTGTTTATTTCTTACTTTTATTGTATTGTATTGAATTAACAAATTTACTCTTATTATTATTATTATCAAACTTGAATACTTCAACAACAGATTGCAAATAAATTGTCACAAAAATATCTCTCAAAGTTTAATAATTCACTCTAATAATTATAAATAAATTCACAGTATAAATGGGTTTCAAATTTGAACAATTCAAAAAAATAATGCGCAATAAAAAATTAACTACTTCTTAAATAAATTGAAATACCTTACGAGTTACAATAATTCAACAAAGCTATAACTACAGACAAATAAAATTTTTAATAAACTATTATAAATACTTAAAAATTTATTATTCTTAAATTTATTATAATCTATTATTTTTATACAAAAATTATAACATGAACTCTCATATACCATTTGAACAACATAGAATTTGAACAATTCAAAAAAATAATGCATAATCAAAAATTAACTACCTCTTAAATAAATTGAAATACCTTACAAGTTACAATAATTCAACAAAGCTATAACTACAGACAAATATAATTTTTAATAAACTATTATTAATACTTAAAAATTTATTATTCTTAAATTTATTATAATCTATTATTTTTACACAAAAATTAGAACATGAACTCTCATATACCATTCAAATGACAAAAAGCATTCTGTAAGGTATCATATTCATTAGTTGGTTTAGACTTCACATCTTTCTTTTTCAAATCTTTGGCTGCTTTTAGGGACATGAAAACAAGCATTATTACATGTATGCTAAGCAAGCAACATTAAAAAAAAAGCACAAGCAAAGGGCAAATGTATACAAGGATTACAAAAAGCAAGGCAAACTAAACTTATATACTTCTTAATTTTGATAATTTCATTCTAATTTTAACTTTTTATTAATTATTATTTTTAAATACGTGTTAATTTCATAAATTTTTTAATTAAAGTAAATTCATTCCTCGTTTGTTGCTTGACCTAAGAGTTTTTCTTTTGAGAAGTCAAGATTACTAGAATTTTAGTCAAGATTACTAGAATCAAGATTACTAGAAGAGTTTGTTGCTTGACCTAAGAGTTTTTCTTTTGAGAAGTCAAGATTACTAGAATATTGAAATTGAATTTTAACATTAAGGACAGCAAAAACGTTTTATAATAGAATTGTAAATGCTTAGGCAAGTAAAGTTCCTAGATTTTCTTAAAACTTTTATACTCTAACTCATTTAATAATTATACTATAAACTGTAATAACTATAGACTAAAGATTTTCAACATTATTTGCTTACTTTAAGGCGACAAAGGGCTTTCAAATTTTTTTTTTTGAAATTTGAATAAAAACAGTTATAAAATGAGCCAGAAACCTGCCAAATTTAAAAGTTTTTGATTTTTCTGAATTTATAATTTTAACTACCACTATTAGTCACATCTTAAATGAAAAAATTTATGATGTTTTAATTTATGTAATTTTTTGAAGCATGCAAAAATAATAATAAGTAATGTAAATAATTTATATAAAATGAAAAAATTAATTTGTTTATTCAAAATTCATCTATAAAAAAATTGAAATAATTCATCAACAGATATAGATTTCAATAGGAATTTTACAAATTAGCATGCAATTAAGACCTAGTTATAATAAGAACTTTTGTATACCATTTCGATGACTAACGCCATTGCGAAAAGTATGTCCATTTGCTAGGTTAGACTGCTCACCATTTTTTCGTAAACCTTTAGCTGCTTTTACAACATAAAAACAATCATTAATAGAGGAACTCTAAGCTGGCAACAAGATAAAAACAAAAGCAGAGGAGAAATGTTTATTGATTACAACAAAGGACAAAGCAAAATATAAAATAATTGATAAATTTTACTAATTACTACAATAAAATAAACACAAAACATTAAGTTCAGCTATTTTTCAAATACTTTTATTGAAACTTGTACATCAAATTATAATTTAGAAATCGAATATAAAAAATTATAACTGAAATTTTAGATAATTAAAATATTAAATTATATGAGTCATTCAACAGCTAAACTTGATAAAAAAAAATTTATTGCTACAAGTGCTTTATGTAAGGTAAGCTTAACTTGGAAAATCTGAAATTTTTTTGCTCAAATGTAACTTAAAATTATCTAATAAATAAAATTTATTCAATAAAAAAAGAAAAAAATTAAAATATTTTTTAATTTGTTATCTTTCACAAAACATAGAAAATGTATCTACTTTAGTCTTTTAACACAGCTAAATTAAAATTACAGCTAAATGTATTAAATTCAAATTTACTGTAAATAAAATCATCAAATAGGTACTATTTTATTTATCGCTATTCCTAAATAACAGAAATATGGGCATATATCTGTCACTAATTTGTATTTTGATAGATTGACTCCAATTCTAACGGAAATATTAATAAAATCTCAGAGATTTAATTAAAACAAGGTTTTTGAAAGATATTTGAAAACTCAATTCATAAGTGATAGCGACTGAATTAAAAGATTTAGGAAAAAAATTACAAAATAAAAACCTTAGAAACAATAGGAATTTTATATTAATCAAAAAATTTCACATGAACATTTATCTTAGTTTGAAATATACTATTATAAAATAATTATTCTTATATTATATATTTTTATACAGAATTATAACTTTAACACAACTCCTATAAACCTATTTTAAAAAATTAGAAGTATATAATCCAATCCTTACATTATATATTTCTATTCATAATTGTAATATTTCCCAATTTATATTAAAATACTTAAAAAAATTTATTTTAAATTTTATTTTCCCAAATTATTTTAATCTGAAAATGCATTAAAATGTTGATGGCTTCAGCACTATGGCTTGCAATGATAAAATTAAACACTTCCTGGATGAAATGTTTTCTTCTAGAGCATGTATTTTGTACCTCTGACTGTATTAGAAAAATTCATTTTGATTTTGAGCTTAATATTATTTAAAATTAATAAGCTATAACAAATTTAACTTAATATCACAATTAGAAATGCATAATGAATGTGATTATTATTGGCTTAAACCTTTGAAGCAGAATTTTTATTAAACATATTTTTCATACTTTTTTTATTATTTTGTATTATTTTAGGTCAAAATAAGTGAAAAATATAAAAATATTATATTTAGCATCTTAAGCATTTCTATAAATTATGGTTATAAAATGCAGCATTTTTTTTTTTTTTTTAAAGGTAAAATTTTTCAAACAAGGCTCACTTACAAACAAAAATTTTCATTTATTTGCCCTTATTTAGATCTAAGAGAAACAGTTATTTATCACTGGAATATATTTAATTTAACAAATCAATTATTGATATATTTTTGAATATGAATGGAAAAATACTACATTTCATACTACATTTTCAGATTTTAGTGCAAATATAATTCTGATAGTTGGACAAAAAAATTTTAGTAACTATTAGACTGTTTTTAATAATTAAAAAATATCAAAATAGATTTTTGTTTGTAATTGGAGCATCAAAAAAGATATATAAAAGCGGTACTGGCATTTCATCTGCATCAAAGGATTAATAAATTCTGAAATATCACAATAAAGTCTAAAAAACCAAGTTAGTTAAAGTACCTTTCTAAACAAAATAATTTTTTCCCTTTTTACAACCCCAACATCTACTAGAATTCAAAATTTATTTCACCTATCAAACCTTTCATGTGAGTTTTAAATAACAATGAAATAGTTAAATAATAGTTTAATAACATGGTTACAAAGAAAAAAATTCATCACTTTACTAAATAAAAAAGATATCTGATATCACATATTATCGATTGGTACAAATTTAAGTCACTTTATTTCCTTAACATCAATTTAAGACCAATACAAATGCATGCAGTTAGTAGTATTTTATGAAAAACAAAGCAAGAAAAATCATGCAATGGTTAGTGTAATTTAAATCAACCTCTTATGTTATACCACACTGATTTTTAAGTGAATAATCTTCTGTTCCATTTCCATTTTGTAGACTGCCGTCTCTATTATTAATTAATTCATCTTCTAAAATTTGGATGCAAAAATAAAATGCATTAAAGCAAAGCAAACATAAGCATTTATTGTGTCATAATTAGAGTGTTTGTTTCTAAACCAACCTCTACTATTTTCAAAAATTTTGCACGATTTTTAAAGGAGGAAATTAAATTTCAAGGCATATGGTTAGCATCCTGTATCTGAGTTACAACACTCTCGAGTTAAATAGACATGAGAACTACTAGACATGAAAATTTTAAATTTCTTGTCAGTTACCAGTGGCCAGTAGTTTAATAATTAAGTAGCCGCTTTTTCCTCAAACCTAACGAATCTGTGAACGATATTGATAGATCCTACTTTTTGCTTTTATTAAATTATATTTTTTAAATAAAAATCATATTAGAAACAATTTACCACTACAAAAAGTTAATTCAACAATAAAAATAATATAAATATATGACAAAATTTAGTTAAACATACCAAACATCATTTTCAAATATTTGAGGAGGCAAAATACATTTAATGCATACATTACAACTTTGAAATATATACGAGTAAATTGTTAAAGAACTCTCCTTCCAAATAAATCTTTCCATCACAAATTGATAGATTCAGAAGGATCAAAATTTTGAATGGCGATGAAGAATATTTTAATAAAAATTCTAGAATCTTTCTGCGTTATTTTACTTTTATCATTAAAAGATTAAAAAGCCACCAGTTGCTTCTTTAATTTAAATCACTTTCTTTTTTTTTGTTATTGTTGTTGAGATGAGTGGTTATTTTCAGGTCTAGGAGCTAACTAAGATATTCCAGAGAAAATTCTTCTGAGACAAGTCTGTTGCTTAGCAACCATATGGGGATATGATCAACAGGGAAAATCAAAGGGTTTTACAAAAGTTTTCTTGGTTGCCTAGCAACAGAGAAATTAGAAAAAAAATTCTGGGCTGTGGATTTATTGGATTTTTTTTTGACACAGCAAAAAGTTCCCTTCATAATTTTTTTTCTTCTTTTTTTAAGAAGAACAGTGGGACATAATTGGTCTTACAGACATGTGACTCAATTAGAAAAAAAATACTAAAATAGTGCACGATTAATGACTCTATACTAACAAATTTGTTAGTATATTTTAAGACATTGATTATTATCCACCTCCACTAAGCAGTTGTGTGAAAAAACTGCTTAGTAAAGGTGGATATTAATCAACAAAAAAAAAACATGCATGCACAAAATCTTTTCCTCTTTTTCTAAAAAAATTACTGGAAAATCTCATATCTGGTTTTGGAATCAAACACTTTAATTATAGCAATAAAACATGGCAAGGCAGCAAATAAATAAATAAAAATAAAGCAAAAAACATAAAAATCAAAGCAAAATAAATTTAAGCATAATAGCAAATTAAATGGCAACGCTAAAGAAAAACTAAACTAAAGCACAATGAGCAACACTAATTTTCAAGAAACAAACTTATATGCGATTAATTAAATTTAATATTTAGAAAGTTCTTAAGAAAAGTATTTACTTAAACAAACACACATATATTTAAACCAAACCTTCAACATTTTTTATGTGATATTAATAATTTCAATGAAACAGAGAAATATGATCATTATTTAAATTTCTAGTGAAAAATATTTTTTAATAAATGCTGATATAATATAGTGAAAAACTCCTTAAAATACTGTCAAAAATATTTATTCAAAAGTGTAGAAACTAAACAGAAAATATGAAAATAATAATAAAATATATCTCAAGGTATATAAAAAGCAATTATTCAAATTGCATAACCATTCTCAAGACCAAAAATATTTTTTGTTGGGATTAAAAAAATTAAATCTATTATCTATAACAAACAGTTACTAAATGAAATATCCTAATATTTAGTTTTAAAGATTTATTTAATAAAATATTCATTGTTGTTGTTGACGTATGCCTGTTAAGACAGAGGAGTGCGATTGATCTTGTTTTCTAGTGGCGCCATCTAAGGCCAAGAATTCAACTTCTGCCACACCCATACGTCCCACCCGTTCATAGGGCAGACCCATCCATACATCCATTCATTCATCCACAGATCATAATTTTGACCTGAATCAGAGAACGATCAATCTCCAATTCAGTACCCCCAGTGGTATTTATTTGTTATGGGAACACGGAGGACTTTGCGACTCCACAGATTTAACGTGCATCAGTCACCATTTGCTACACGAGGAATCTTCGGCTGGCGGAGCTCGAACTCTCGGACATGGGCCCAGCGTCCTACCGATCAGGCTACCCCGATCGAAAATATTCATTCATTTGGTTAATAAGAGTAGATTTATACATAATTTTGTGTTTGGAATATGAAATAAACATGCTACAGTGCTGCAACAATCACATTTTACAGATGTACTTACCAAATCTGTATAACTTGATGAATTAAATTGTATTCTTTCATGCATTAAATTCTAGACTATATCACGCAACTGAGCAATCTAGTTTAGGCTTAAAATCAAGTATTAAATAATGGAAAATCATATACAAAAGGAACAACACTAATTAAACTAACCCAATGAGCCCCTTGGTGGCACCAGTTTTCCAATGCATAAAGGTCGGTTACCATATGGGTCTCTAACAGCATAAATTGTGTCACCATTCATTATAAGTAGAGCATAAGAGGTTTTTGTACGACTCATAAGATTTTTTATCCTGGCTGGCCAATCTGGTTTTCCTTCACATTCATTGTTTGGTTCTGGGGGTGGCATGCACAGGATCTGAACCATAAGTTCACTGTCCGATTCTGTTGACAAGCCAACGCCTTTCTCAATAATCTGAAAGAAAAGACTTGTTAATTTAGAACCCTGATTAAAATGAAGCAAAATCACAGAAGTGTGGAGATAAGTAGCATTAAACAATAAATTTTCAATTAAAAATAAAATAATAGCACAATTTTGTGCAAAAACTTACAAGAAGAAAAATAGCTTCTGAAAAGAATAACGCTCGAAAAACTTGTCGTCAATGAAAAAGTGCAAAAGAATGTAAAAATAGAGCAAAACAAAATTTTTCTAAAAGAATTACACAAAATAAAAATTGTGGTAAAAAGAATAGCTCAAATTTCCCAGAACTACCTAGTGCAAGATTATCTTGCACCAGTCAGAACCAAATTATAATAACAACATGAAAATTATTACGTTTTTAGATAAAGGAACAACACAAAACTGAGCTTAAAAAAAGCATACAAATCACAGGGCTTGTTAGCAAACTCTTTGAAAATTAGGAGTGTATTGAACCATAATATCATTCAAATTTGCAGAACTTTAACATGGTACTCAAATAAATCATATTATCAGACTCCTTAAACGTAATTGCACGTTACTATAGCCTCACCTGAACAGTAACATGGTGCAAATAAACACCTTATTAACACCGTACTATGGTTCAAGGAACCGATATCACGGTTCAACATTAAATCAATATTCCTGAGATTGTAAAAATAGTAAACAAAAAAAAAATTACAGAGTTAAAAGAACTCACTTCTCTGCGAAGCTGTGGAGCATTGACTAGTTCACCATTATGGGCTATAGCAAGAACTCCATGCTTCGTATGAACGACGAACGGCTGCGTATTCAAGTGTTGCGTTCCTCCGGCTGTGGAGTACCTTGTGTGACCAATACCCAAGTTACCTTTCAGTTTTGCCAGATCCTCTTCCTTGAAGGCATGGGTCACTAAGCCAGCCATTTTATGGGTGTTCACATTGCTCAAATCTCCATTGCTGGTGGTGATTCCGCAACTTTCTTGACCTCTAAGAAAAGGGTTAAAAATTAATTAATTTTAAAACAGCAGCACTTTTCTACTGAAAAATTCGGAAAAGTCGGATTTGGAAATGAAACAGGACAAAACCGAACAAACGCTTGACAAGAAATATTTTTTTAAAACGAAAAAAAAAAAAAAAAAAAAAAAAAAAAAAANAAAAAAAAAAAAAAAAAAAAAAAAAAAAAAAAAAAAAAAAAAAAACGGACGTCGAACAGTCGACCCAATTTTGTGGGTACTAATGTTCAATTCCGCAGCCTTGTAATTTTAAAACCAATTCAAAAAGACAAAGAAACTCTTCGATCCAATATTGGGAGAAATTTGTCTTCGTAAAGGACTTTTTGACGGAACTAACCTGTGTTACCGTTACATGGCGACGAAAATCACGAAAACCTTCCACGGTTAGCATGACAGCAAGGGGACTGATTCGTCTACCACTGGGGATATTTTACGACAGGACTGTGGTCGATTCAAAGCGGATGCGGAATTCGTATCGACCAGCCATCGCTGGGATTCGAACCCGGTTCACCTGATTGGAAAGCGAGCCATTGCGGCACTGTGTTATACGTATCAAAAACTAATTGCTGTGAGTTAACAGAGATGGGTAAAAATGCACTTTAGTATTAGTAATAGTACTTTATTTACGTCGCACAAGAGCAGCACAATGGGCTTTTGTTGACGGTTTTGGAAACATTCCTAAGGATGATCCGAAGGTTGTAATTTTGATCCTCTGCAGAGGGAATGGCTTCTCCTCTTTGGTAGCCCGTCGATCTGCGCGCAAAGTTGAGCACTTTGCGATCAAACAGTTTAACGAGGACCGATACCACACACCCTCAGTGCCTTCGCTGGCTGATCAAACTAGCCAAGCACTAGCTCACTGATCGCTACCAGTGATATTTGACTTCGGTGAAAAACGTGCTGTAAATTGAGCAAAACTTAACAATATTTATATTCAAAATCGCATAATGAAACAGTGGTAATTTTTAAAAAGATAGGAAATTTTTTAAAAAGAAAAAGCAATACCGTGTAATTAGCGAAATAACATTGTCATTAGTTCTTTATTTAGACCCGAAGACCGTTAAAATTTATGTTTACAAAAAAAATAAGCCAATTCATATTTACTAAAGCAAAAAGTTACACGCAAAATTCTACAGATAATGTTTACGCTTAATTTTGACTTTAGTTTTTAAATATACATGTTTTAAGTTAATTTATCTTAACCTTAATTTTTCTCTAAAAGTTGCGAACGTTAAAATATTTGTATTCTTTTTAATTTGTTTGCCAGTTTTTTTAATTTTCCATGGTACGCGAGTAAGAGTTTAACAATTTTTGTGTATAGCATACAAAAATAAATAAAATGTTTATTGAATAGTGTATAATAAAACGAAGTAAATCAGTTTTCTATTCTTTGATCATTCTTCCTCCCTTTGATTTCTCAAACATCGATAGCTTAAATGTATGTTGAAATGACGAGTATATACGCTATTTAGGTTCTTATCAGTCGGATGAGGGACATCTTGTAAGAGATAAGTTGCAGAAAGAAGATTGACGCAACAGTTGTACGATGTTACGTTATAAGGTGAGATGAAAGTTGTTTAACTAAAAAATTCAGATAAGATTACAAAATATTACATATTTGGGATTGCTACAGCTACTTTAAGACGCGTGTTTGAAAAATAAGCACTTTCGTTTGATCTACTTCTTTAAAATTGAAGTACAAGCATAATTAAACTCCCCCAGTATTTTGCAGACAAATGCCCTCTTTATAAATGAAAACGTTTTTTCAATGTAGGCTTCGACACCTGTTGGAGTCTATTGAATAAATAAATATCTATCTTTTGTTTGATAAATTATTTTTGCTTGGTTCGCTGCGTCTGTTGTCAGTGGAGTAAATATAGTTTGTCTATGGAAAGAACTTCCCTCGCCACAAAGTCTGAGGACGTCTGCTGCTATGGCAACAAGAAACAGTAAAAGAGGGGAGCTTCTCTTTCCCCTGGTTCCCTTTCTCCCTCTGACTCGAGCTAAAACCTGCTTAAATATTGACTTAAAGCCCTTACAAGAAATAATTAAACCTCGTAACAATAGTCACCGCCACTATACCAGACGAATGGAGAGGGGAGTTAGTTCCATAGACAGACTGTAACACCCCCGAGATCAGGGGGGGAGCACGAGGTTTGAAGGTGCACTCGTCAGATAAAAATAACACAATGAGTTAAAATTAAAAACACTTTTTATTTATAAATAATTTTTAGTTTACTTTTAAATAGTAATAACACTTAACTAAACTTTGAATATAATTACTATAAGTTAGTGGGATTTCTCTTCTTATAATTAAAAAAAAAAATATTCATTTCAATATGGTAAGTGTGCAACGGTGTTTCAATTTATTAATTTAATTCTACTTTTTCAGTTTCTTAAATTAAAATAAAATTAATGATTTTTAATATCAGAATATCTCTTCACCATAGTGATTTTGTTCCATATTATAATTTTAAACTTTTTATGGTAAGTCTAAGATAAGGAGCAGCTAAGTCTGTTGTCAAAATTTCATGTCATCATGACTCATATGACGCCCTGCACAGCCCTACAAAGAGCTGAACCTACAACATCGAACTACAGCTGTTAGGCACTTCCAACCATAAAACTGGCTAAATTTAAAAAATTTAAGCGTTCTGTTTCCGTTCTAGTTCTGCTATACTATCGTGCAAGAAAGCTGAAATTGCACACCAATAATATTCTACTTGATGAACATCTTGTTATGGTAGTAGAATATTGCACAATATTACAGTTTAACGACCATTAAATATTTTCCACGGTTTGGGTTAAAAACATTACCAAAACATAACATACTATTCTATATTCATTACTATTTTTTTTTTCTCGCTGAAGCTCAAAATTTTTTAGGTTCAAATATAATTTTGAGCAACCAATTCATTAAAACTGAAGAGAGGATGCTGTTAATGACAAAGGAGCAGGCGGCTAAACTTTTCTACTTTTAAAATAAATTATCTTTTTTTTTCCCTCGTATGTTTGATTATATGTAATGGGAGCAAATGATTTATTGTAGTTAACTCTAAATAATAATTAGTGTTATCGATTATAATTCTTTGCTGTTGTGTGGTTTGAACTACAAGAAAAAATCGAGTTTTTAATTTGCATTCCTCATCACAATCGTAAACAATTGTGATTTTAAAAAAAAAGGATTTTTTATGTCTTTAATTTACATTCGTAAAGGACTAATACATTTCTAGGAAATTTGGTTAATATAATGTTTTTCAAAATCAACAGACACATAATTAAGTTTCATCCTTAAGTATTTTGAATGAAACAACACTTCGCATAGTGAAAAAGTAATAACATGAATCAATATATCTCTAATTATTCCTAGATTTTAAGAAGAAAAAAAAAAAAAGCTTTGTCGCTAAGCGAAAGAAAGGAATTTGAAGAAGAAAAAAAAAAAAAGCTAATTTCATAATTCGAAGATTCTTTTTCTTTCGAAAAAAAGCTTATAGCTATCAATCTCTTTACATCAATATCACATCTTATCTCAATACTTGCGTCGCAAATATCCTTGAAATTTGAAAAAGTTATCTTTCAAGATTAATTAATTCTTCATGATTCATCATTTCCGACTTCAAATTTGAAACTCATAATTGAGCTGATTATTTTGAGTCGAGTTTTTTTATTTTTTTTTTTTTTTTTTTTTTTTGAAATACTGTATCAAGGGGAGAACGCTACAGTAACTGGTTTGGGGAAAAAATAAAAATAAATAAAATAAAATTTTATAATTAAATTGCATTAAAACGTGTACGTTACTTTCTAATTTATTTAAATACTTTATCAACCAATGTCTTTAAAACTAAACGCGGTTATGATCCAAGGTAAGGGGACCAGACGCCCTAAAATATTGAGGACCTCGAATTGCATTGATTATTCTCAAATTCTTTCATACTCCTTGAGGACAAGAAGTGTTCCCAAATTTTAACACGCGTTCTCAAATGTTCACGAAGTTTTTCGAAAACTTCTTTTTTTTTTTAATACATGAAGTGAAACATCGGGAAAAAAAATCAGAAATGTTCCAGTTTTTTTTAACAAGATAGTCTTGTCTTATAGCGAATACAAACGAAAAGCTAAAATACACCAAACTAGTCTTAAAATAATAAACAAATTTTAATTTAACAGAATATCATATGATACTGCTTGGTAATGAAATTGAGTTTAATGAAAATGGTTTTGTACCTGATATTAGTTATCAATTATAAAAAAAAAAAAATTCTTAGTTGTACTTCTAAATCAAAATTTTCCGTAAATATATGGCGCACTCAAATCGTAATATTTTTCGACAACACTCAACTGATTTGACCTCAATGTTTATAAATCAGTGGGCTAGATCAATGGGCTGTTTTTGCAAAAAGAATTTACTTCCACTATTCTTTTTTACTGAATGGCAACAGAATCGAACCCAAGAATGAGATAACATTTTGGAGTTTACAATTATTTCTTTCAGATTAGTGTTTCCGGATTTTTTTTCCTTCTTTTTTCAATAAAATGTTTACTGTAGAATCATAATAATAATAAAATAACCAATCTATATTTAAAAAAAAAAAATCATTGATCGTAAGTTGAGTCAAAACCCACTTAATTTTAACAATAATATAAACCACTAAAATTATATTACCTTTAATCTCTTTAACTAGTCAGTTTTTAATCGTCCATCACTCAAAATTTTTGAAAATATAGATAAAGCAGATCTCTAAACTTTGATTTTGACGAAAAGTACAATTCTTATGACTTTTCTTTACTAAATTTTCAGACTAAAATTTCCTGCCCTTTGAAGGGTTAAAGGTTGGATATTTTGGAGGGTACAAAAGGCAAACAACATTTCAGACTCTAGGAAAGCTGATCATATGATGTAGTAAACTAGGTCTGACGGCTAAAAAGAAAGAAACATCACTGGAGTGAAATACCTGAAGTAGGGCCGTGTTCCCTTAA